ACACACAGACAACCTATCGTCAATATGCGTTTTTCGCATTGCATTGCTGCAAAAAACGCATAAAAATGAGAAGAGAATTTTGAAAGTACGGCCAATCGGTAAGCCTCGCCTCACAGCGCAAATCTGAGTAAAAGGGGAGTAGTACTTACTTTGCTAGATGAGGAAGCACCCGAGCTGGAAGTGAATTTCGACTTCAAAACGTCGGCAATTGGCGCCGCAATATCGATGCGCACCAATGGTTTCTGACGCATTCGGACCTCCGGCAAAAGCGAACGCAGCTCCGGCGGAAGGATATTTTGAAAATCGCTTAGCTCTTGCTCCCATTCCAATGTTGTCAGATCTAATGGCCGAGGAAAGCTGAGTCCTGCAAACTCAAAAATAAAATTATCAAAACGAACCCAAAAATAAATTTAAAAAAAATCCAAGATTTAAAATTAAAAATAAAAAATATCAAGTCACGCGCCGTAGATGCAAAGAACAGGCCGTGGGTATTAAGTGGAATAGCAGAGTAAGAAGATTGGAATTAGGTGTCATGTACAAGACATTTCACAGTGCAGTCTGTATTTCATCTCTTAGCCGTAAACACAGACCGGATTATGCATGCAGATAGGAGTGGAAATCGTCAGTACAGCCTCCAACGCGCATGTATTGAAAGGGCATGTAACTAATTTGCAAGAAGAATAAGTGAAAGAGAGAGGAAGTATAACAGCATAAAAGTAATAAGAGTAATACAGCAAATGGAAGAGGAGGAAACTAACATATGTTACGGGTAATAATTCTATGTAGTTAGGAGGCAACATCCATGAGAATAACTTACTAACTAGGTTTTTAATTCCTACATCTTCGAAGTAGATGAATCTGCTCAGTACTGATCGGTTTTTGAAGCAAAATCTTATAACACAGCGTTCTACTTTGGCAATATCAAACTTTTTTTGTTTATAGATATTTATAAGATGTCTAGCCCAGTCAAGAAACCCCTCTGAAATAGAGAACTGAGAATCGGGAGATCCGACATAGATATACCAAAGTGTGTGAATACTCTAGTAGTATAATTAATACGGAACACATATACTGACTGTCCAAGTAACCATGATGTTGGCAAAACAAATCTATGACATCAAGAAAATTTTTTCACGCTGCTTTACTAAAAAAAACTTCTAAATAGTTAAGAAAATTCAAAAAAAAAATTGTCGGAACGGAAAAAAATCGATTTACAGACCTCGTTTCAAATAATGTACGTATTGCTTGAATCGTGCTTGCTTCATAGGCTCTTCCTCAAATGCATTTTTTAACAAATCTTCACTGTTCATTGAACTACGAGAAGCAGATGCAGTCAGCCTTTTTCTATCTTTATCGTGTATCAATTCGAGTACAGCTTTCGGATCAACCTGTAATGGCAACAGAGAAAACAGATAAGAATCCAAAAGAAAGATAGATTATGAAAGAAAAAACGTCAAAACACTAATACGGTACAAACAGATGCCAAGTGCAGCTATAACAAGTCCCTTGCGGCCATCATTTATCATCAATACGAGACGTTCACTGGTTGCCATCGAAGTGAGCAACTTGCCCTGTCTGTCGGATTTTACTTTCTCACGTGGTCACATTGAAGTCTCTCATCGGTCAACTGATGGAGGAGGATCTGACCGCTTACATAGAATTATAGCCAGAAAGCTGAATTATAGCCAGAACAAATAAAGAAGTGGATTACCTCGCCTAACAATTTAGCCCGCTGTAAGTGATTCATTTTTTCACCAAACTGCTTGATATTGGCAGGCATTTGCGAGATATCCGGATGTATCGGAGTATGAATGGGACGAAAATTGGTTGGCAAACGTGGAGGCTCAAAAAATTGC